ATTCAAACAATACATAAAATAAGGGGTTGGTCTGCCAAGCTCTGATACTATTGTTTTATGTATTATTTAGCTGTTTGTACCTAAAATTGCACCTAAATTGTTTTATAAATCTCATCTAACAATGTCACGTTATGTGAGCAAATCCCTGAACGTAAGATTTACCCATGAGCCCATATTTTTTCTTAGTGTTTTTATAAAAATGAGGCATAGCACAAATCATGTCAATAATCCACTCTTTCAAGTCAATAATGTATTTAATTCTTTTTTCTTTTTTTTACTTGAAATTGACCTTTTCTCTGTAAAACTATGCTAATATCATATATTTCGTTTATAAACAGAAAATGAAAACAATTCGCCATAATGTTTTGTGATAGTTCGGGTTTAAGGAAATTAAATGGACCACAATTCTTCTGTAGCTGAAGCTTATGTTACAACAAACGCAATAGGACATAAAGAGAAAAAACTAGAATATGCTGTGGGCAAAAGCAAGGGAAAATGTCAGTCACCAAGACAGTAAGTAAAAAGGTGCCGAGAGCTCTCTACATGAGCATTAGAAATGCTTGGGGCACACAAGTAATTAACAAGAACAAATGAGGGAATATGAAAGGGGAAGTGCATTGATATGTGTTTTGGGCTGCAGAGGGAGTAGACTAAAGAGGACAAAGCTTAATAGGCAAAAATAAAAAATAGCATGCTATTGAAAGTTTAAATAATCAGAGATCAAAAATTTACATATTTATAGAGAAATACTTAAACATTTACAAAATATTATCTAGAAGCTTTTGAGCTGCCCATGTGGTTTGAGATATAGTAATTTGGATATTAGCAGCTTAGCCAGAGAAAAGCACGGTACATTATGTTAACCCTTAAATTTCATTCATCTTTACAACTGTATACCTTTTTTTAAAAAGTGCACATATATATATATATATATATATATATATATGTATATATAAAAATCCAAGTTTTATTTTCCTTTTCCCTCGTAATACACACTGTCCATATCAGGGTTTTCGGACTTAAACTGTCAGGAGCCTGTCATGTAGGAAGAAGTCAGCTTTCATGTGTAGACCGCTCCTGCATTGGCATGTTGCAGAACAGTCAAATCATTTACAGTTTCACTACATGAAATACTTTTCTGACTGTCAGCATCAGTGATGAGTGAAAGGCCTTAACATAACATTTCTTCGTTTAGAATCTCTGTAGAGAAACACTAAAACTGTACAGACAAAAAAATGATGGGGAAAAGTGATGGGGAAAAGTGGTAAAAAGTCCAAGGAAAAAGCAGCATGACAATTCTGAGGTAAAATGTTCGTAACTTCTTATTAGTAATAAAAGTTAGACATATATATATAACTCTTATAAGCCGAGTTATAGTAATGGTGGTGTAAGTCGGTTGTGGTGTGCCGGAACCGACGTTCGGGTAGGCCTGTAAAAGAGGACCCACCATGATGAATGGATTAATAAAGGGAGTGGTGGGTGGGCTAAACCAGGAAGTCTCAGCCCAGAGGAAGGGGAGGTCTGTGTATTTATAGGCTGGGTAACTCCACCCACAACTACAGGCTTTGCCTAATGGCTCTGCCTTCTCATTTGTGGTCGTATACAATAAACCATGTTATAGTAATGGTGGTACCGGTTGTGGTGTGCCGGAACCGACGTTTGGGTAGGCCTATAAAAGAGAGCAAAAAGTTTAACATTTTAACACTGGATACATGTTGACATTACATAACCACTACTGATCTCAATTCCCCCTCACTATGTCTCAATTCCCTCTCAGGTTAAGGGATATATGTGGCATATGCAGATGACTCTGCTGTCCCAGCCATTAGATGATATGTACTGGGATATTACTAGAGGTACTAGGAGCAGCGGGTATTCTTTTAGAATGACTTGAAAATGTTAACAGTTGTATTCAAGTAACTTTAAGTGTTGTGAGGTAGTTAAAGGTTGAAGTGGCAAAAAATATGTGAATGCTGCCGTGGAATCGAATGAGTATGGTTTGATGATTTGATATGCGGAAGAGAGTTTTTTGAAAATGGCCAGAGTCCAGCGCATGGGCAGGTGGCATTGGCAGAGAGTGTTGCGTGTGCCAGCAATTAAATCCTGGAATGTAGGGGTTTAGTAGGTCGTTTGGCAAGAGTTCAGAAGAATATGAAAAATTGTGATCGAGTCACCTCATCGGTTGCTATGTTGTGACAGCCTAGCATGGGTATGCGAACAATGTAGAGTTTCTACGATGCTGCCAGCCAGACCTCTTCCTAATCAAACTTATTATTGTTAGTGAGGGGGACTGACCGGTAATAATTCCCATTCTGCTGATTTATTAAAAGAGGGTAGGTTCCGTGTCACTACGGGAAATGTTTCACGGACCCAGTTAACTATCAAATTGGCTGCAATCCAGTGTGAGCAGCTGTGTTAGTCCAAAAATGACGGACAATGGTGAAATGAACATGGTTTCCCTGTTCTGGTGGGATAGAAAGCTTAGCGACACGAACAGGACTTCTCAAGCATGTTTCGAATGCAACAGCGCTATTATTGACAGGTGAACCTGGACGCTGATTGAGCGGATGGGAAATGAATAAGCTCCCTTGTGTAAGGTGCATGATTAAGTTCAGAGGACCAAGAAGAGACTGGAGATCCATACGGGAAACAGGCATCTTTGCCCAGAAAGGATTTTCCATTTCCCTGATACGCTGGACTTAGTCTGCGGGGAGGTTGAACTTGAATGAAATCAAGTCTAATGTATTTGCAGAAATTAAAATTGGTGTAGGGGTCAAAGGTTGATCGAGACTGCAGAGTTCCAAAGGTTGTACCAGATACAAAAGACACATCTGACTCAGGGTATGGCATTCGGTTCCATAATCGTTACACTCATGTAGATAATGCATTGCTGAGGGACAGTACTGATGTACAAGAGGAGCCTACAGAGAGAATATGCAACTATATCAAATAGTTTGGACATGTCTTTGCTCCAAACGTAAGATGGGTGGCAAAGTAGAATGCTCAGTTCACTAAATATTGTGCAAATTCCACTGGGACCGATGCAATGGGAGCAACTTGAAAATTAGGAATATGGCATTTTCCTAGTCAGGCTGCTTCTGTGACCCTTAAGATAGACCAAATACCATGGCCTAATGCTGGGAACTTTAAAGAACGAGTAGCCATTAATAAAATTGAGCAGAAATTATTGGGATTCCCATTGATTAGGCTAATATGGTAGGTGCACCCAGAAATAAAGGGGTTGTCAGAAGGGCCCCAGCAAGAAACCAATACTTGGTTAGGACAAACCCTAATACCTGATTGAAGCATAATGACGCCTGTGCAGAAACTTACTGTGAAACCTGTAATTAGAAACTCAACTATAGGAGGGCAAGTGTGAGTATTGAGACAGACACCTCTTAGTGACAAAAGGTGAGTACAAATACAGAAAAGTCAGATTGTACACGCTGTGTTCCCTAATCCTTCCAATGGACAGGGGAACTTACTGTACAGATAATAAAATTAGACGAGGAAAACGGAGTCTATACAGCACAGTTTTCTGAGCCAAAGAAGGGAATGGCACACCTTTATGTTGGAGCTCGGCAGTAAAAGTGGAATGGTACAAGATCACCAGGAACTGGGGCTGGGGTATCCTTGGTTACGGCTGGAGTGCATGGACTAGATGTAGTGAAGGGTTTGACTGGGGAGCCTGGATTGATATATCTTACTAGTTCTGAGGTGTGCAACATCTATATTTAGAGTAAATGTAACAGTCATGTAGGTGATAGTTTCACAACTGGCGGCTTGCATAGTACTGAATGGCAAAATATTAGCTAATTGAGGGAAAGGTGAGGCCCTACTAAGTGCCAAATGGCGCTGAAAGGCTCTAGCTATGAACTGGCCGAGGTACTGAGGCCACCAAATGATGTGGTAGAAGGCTCTAGCTATGAGAGGGACAAATACCTCTGCATGAGGATGGGTGTAGGCCTTGCATGACTAAATTACAAATATAGAATAATATGGCACACACCAATACTCTTAACAGCCAGTTGATCTATCCCTAAGAAATGTAGAGGAATAGAAACTTAATGAATTGATAGAAAGTATGTTGGAACGTATGTATCTTGCCCAACAAGTGTGTAGTTGAGCTTGAGAAAGGAATATCATAGAGAGGAGCCTAGAGACACTATAGGAACAGTAATGGAAATATGTCCAGTATGGTGTAAGTGCTTATTTAAGGGTATAAAGTACCTGTGCTGTGGTTAAGGATTAAAACGTTAACAGGAGGATAAGTAGGGATAGTAGAAACCTAGATAATTATAGAACTTATGATTGTCAATATGGATATGAAAGAGATTCCTAGTAGTGCTGTGTCTAATTAGGAGTTCCCACTGTGTGTCCTTCCAGAAGAAGGACCTGATGAATGCATGAGAAAGATCGGAACATCTCTAGTTTACTAGCTGGAAGCAAAATATGTAAGATCTAGTTAATGCCTGTGACAGGAGTTGGGGATTATACAAGGCTTAGGGAAAACCATGAGAGACCGAGGAGGCCTGAATATGGTTAAATGTGTAATGAGGGGTTCTTGGTTCTCAGGAGTGAAAGGGTCGTAAAGGAAGGAATTGCTTGGGCAAGGCTGAGAGCAATAGTCAACTGTAGTATGACAGGGTTGTAGTTGACCCTTGTAAACCTGGAAATGTTGTATGTAATTTCCCAATTGTGTGGCAGAAATTGTGTCATAGTGGATTGCCCACAGAGGGCCATATGTAATGTATGGAGTGAAGGCCTAGTGAGGGCCACGTGTAGAGGTATTGCAGCGGAAGGTCAGTATTACCAAATGTAAGTCTCAAGCTGCTGGTTGTATAATAGGGTGTATGTAAAGTAATGATTATGACATGAACAAATGTAGGTTAATTGTACCAAAATTGTAGAAATGGACTGTGAATTGCGTATGGACAGTAGTGATGCTCTGGTATTCTATCTGGTTTTATTAATTTGCTGGCTGGTGGCTGCAGGGAGACCTGTGCTGTCTCTGCTCTGCTTCCCTGCCCTTGCGCGCTACTTAATGAGACTGGGGCCGGAATATGACGTCATATCGTGCTGTGGAGCAGAGCAGAGACAGCACAGCTCCCTATCCGTGCCTACTATTCGCTCTGCCAGCCGCCCACCCTGCACGACCACACAGCATGCCGCCCGCATCTATAATCCTCCAATTTGCCACCCGCCTGAACGATCCCCCAGCATGCCGCCCGCCTGCACAATCCCCTGGCCGTTCGCCCACTGGACCCCACAGGTATCAATACAAGCAATAATGTGTGAGTCAGTCTGTTTGTGTGAGTGTATGGGTCTGTCATGGTGTGTGTGTGTCTGTCATGGTATGTGTGTGTCTGTCTGTCTGTCTTGGGGTGTGTGTCTGTATGTCATAGTGTATCTATCTGTGTGTCTGTCATAGTGTGTGTATGTTTGTCTGTCTGTCTGTCATGGTATGTGTGTCTATCTGTCATGGTGTGTGTGTCTGTCTGTGTCATGTTGTGTGTGCCTGTCTGTGTCATGATGTGTGTCTGTCTGTGTCATGGTGTGTATGTCAGTCATGTTGTGTGTATTTGTGTGTCATGGTGTGTGGTTCTGTCATGGTTTGTGTGTCTGTCAAGGTGTGTGTGTCTGTCTGTCATTGTATGTGTGTCATGGTGTGTGTGTGTGTGTGTCTGTCATGGTATATGTGTGTTATGGTGTGTGTGTCTGTCATGGTGTATGTGTGTGTCTGTGTGTGTGTTTAGGTTACCAGACCCCTTCCTTTGGCAAGGGAATAGTGTTTTTACTCACCTTCTTTTTCCAATGCCGTGCTGGTCTCCCCTCAACTGGCCCTGCCTCCATGGCTGGGATCATCAAGCTTGATACTCTTAGCCAATCCAATGTTTTGCCGTAGGAGTGCCTGCAACATGCTACACCAATCAGCATTTCCTCATAGAGATGCATTGAATCAATGTATCTCTATGGGGAAAGTTCAGCGCCTCCATGCAAAGAGTGGAGGTGCTGAATGTAGGTGTAGCACACTGTGCAGCACTGACACAGGAAGCACCTCTAGTGACCGTATGAGTGACTGTCACTAGAGGTGTCACTAGGAAGCAATGAACACTGCCTTTTCTCTGAAAAGTCAGTGTTTACATTGAAAAGACTGCAGGGACAGGCTATGAGCTTGTGTGTGTGTGTGTGTGTGTGTGCCTGCTTGTGTGTGTGTGTGTGCCTGCTAGTGAGTGAGCTTGCATGTGTGTGTGCTTGCTAGTGAGTGAGCTTGTGTGTGTACGTGTGTCATTGATTATAGCTCTACTAATCGGTGAATACCCTCATGAATTCTGTCAGATTGTTTTGAAACAGTTTAATAAAGCCTGGGGTTCTCCACTGCATATATAACAGATCCCTCTAAAGCGAGGTTTTAGAAGTATATCATCATACCTGTTTAATTTTAGGTGTGGCATTGTGCCAATGACTCGTTCGCAGAGAAAAGTAAAGGGAAATATCTCACCCCTTTCATAAAATCTTCTCCCCCTTTGAACGTCTTACCTCCTTTTGTGTCCACTCGTGTCCCTTACCCTCCTTTGTCCATTAACCCCTTGTCTTCCCCAATGACTATTACCACCCCTCTGTCTCTTATTCTCCCATTGTCTCTTAACCCTGCTGTGTCTCTTACCCCCCTTTGTCTCTTGCCTTTTGTGTTTCTTCGTTTGTATAATTCCTCTCTGTAGCGGTAGAGGGTCTTTTTTTTGCTACCAAGTCTGACAGGAAGATGCTTGCTGCTCATTCCCTGATGCTGCAAGCTACAGTGTGTTAGACATGGCAGATCTTTGCTACACCAAGTGACTGAAGTGGGTGAGTGTTGTGCACCCCCCTCCCACTGGTCACCCAGTCTTTACACCCACTGGGCCAGTGCACCCGTGCCACCTTATGGTTGCTCTGGCCCTTATTGAGGATAACCTATGGTTAGGGAAAATTAGATCTACCACTGTGCAACTCATCTGTTAATATAGTTACCAGTCTCCAAAACAGGTAGTTACAACAGGCATTATGAAAGTAATATTTCTAATTTAATCTTTTGGCAAGAGAATATGTACATTTGACACAAGATGTTTATTTGATCAGGATTAGGGCCTACAGTTTTATTCACTTCCTTGCAGTATACTAGGAACTAGGAACCTAGAGTGCTAAGCACACTGAGATTTTTTTTAACGCATATAATATATGCTTTTACTGATCCATGCTACTGTCTAGTAGGTACACTGGATTATTACATTTACCAAATACAAATTTGCTGCTCCACTATAAAGGCATTTATTGTTACGTAAATCAACCATAAACCTCAGTTCACCACCTCAGTAATAGGTCCATCCAATGTCCTGCCTCCGGTTTTCTTCTCAAATTCTCGACCACATCATTCATTCTCCGGATTTTGCTTCTCCTTCTTTTCCCACTGCCCGGCTCATGATTCTATAAATTTTCATGTTTACCAGATTATGTGCCTCTTTCAAGTGTCCATTTCTTTTCTGTCGTAATTTTGTTTTAAATTTTCTGGCCAAAACACTGCCATAAGATTATTTTCAAAGTGCTTTATTTAAAATAATGAAATACTCCATTGTACATTTCACACTTGGCCACAAGTCTCTAGGCCACAGATCCAATATATGTTTAATATAGCATTATTTAATTTGGTGTTACTCAAGTGCACGTCAAGGAAATCTGCTCTAGCTATTCTGCATCAATTTAGAAGATCTTTCTTCACTGAAGCCTCTTAGGATAGATTAATGTGTTTCTCTTACTTCACTCTTTCAGAACAGGGATTTACAGACAACAGCTGCAACAAATTCCCCTGACTGAGAAAAATTACAAGTATTATCACCTAGATCATTAAACTGGGTTCATAGATTGTAGTACAACTTTAATCAATTCATCTAAGATAACTCGAAGCCAGCTGGACCCCCTTGGTGAGAACTTGACTTAATTGGCCAGTAAGTGGCTTGAAAAGGTGCGTGCTATTTGATGAAATTACAGCTTTAGCAAGTGATTACAGTTCAGAACTGTAGAGGGTTGCCTATGGGTTAGACCTTTTGGAGGGGGCTAAGTTAATGTCCACTATTAAATGCTATTGTCAAAAAAATGTATCCTCCTTTTGGTGCTCAGATATAAAGAGTATACAGGTCACCTTTCAGCTGATGGTGTTAGACGCATACATTTATCATCTCTTTGGCCTCATTTCTGCAGAGGTAAGAGTAATATACTAACATCCGCTGTCATGTTCATAGTCTTGTGTTTTCTCTTCATTTATTGGCATAACTAAAGTATTATCTTAGCAAAGCAATACATCTCTCACACAAAAACCACTTTTGTTCAATTATGTCCCAAGAGTATTTTTTAGGAAAGGTTAAGGCATCGGGAAATGAAAAATGTATAAATTATTTTGTTTTTTTTTTCAACTTGTCGTAAGGCATGCTGTATATATGTGTAGTAAATGTTATTTCCTCCGAGTAATTTATCCTTCAGAACAAATAGTTTTGGAAAATGTCAGCATCTGAATATTTAACGCAACACAAGCCTGCATTGGCAAATATTTACCCTCCGTCCTGTGAAAACACAAAACATCCTTATGGGAATAATGCCACTCAATATATTTCCTGTTAAACACTCCCAATGTACTAAAGAGGGTAAATTCAGAAAAACAAACACGTTTGTCTTCAACTAATTATACAGCAGTTACGGATTAATGTCACCTCTACATCTTCAGACTTCTAATCAATAAATTGCATTATGTAGTTAACAACCAAAAAGGGAGCCCATTGTGGCTTACGTTAAATGTCACCGAGATTCTTAGCAGGTCTTTTAAAGAGGTCATAAGTGTAATTTAAAATAATTTTGCAATGCCTAATTCTGCATACATATCTCCTTGTTGCAGGTTACAGTGAGAGAATTGTGGAGTGAAGAAATATAACAAACATTAAAAAAATAAACAGTTTATAGAAAAGTTATCTTTTCGGGTATTAGTAAGAAAGAAAAGGTTGACTAATTTTTTTGTTCTCAAACTTCAAGGTATCTTAAGGTTACACGCAGGACAGAAGCAGAAAGAAACATATATACATACCGTGGCCATTAATAAAGGTGAAAAAAAGCTTTGGAAAATGTCATTTGTTTTTTATGGTGCATGTATGTTTATAATTAAAATGACATATGCATATGTTACGCCATTAAGCAAGCATAATTTAAATTCAGATTTTATAATGTTGATTTGGTATGTATGCCTTATTTTCTGACCTTGTCCTTTCAGGAAATAGTAACCTTTCTATTCCCGGATGGCATGTTTACAGATATCAGTAGCACTCTTTAAAAAAAAAAAAAAAAAAATTATTTGAAAGGAAGGCAAGTTTAAACAAACAATATAACATTGTATTTAACTTTAAGTGTACAAATAAGCTATTAGAGATGTTGGCTAAAAAGATAACTTCTTCAGTTTTGCTTTTGTTACCAATTGCTTATTTGTGGAACACTTAATCTATTTAATTCTGCTAAGAAAATTAATTCAAACCATATTCAACTACATTGGCTTGTATGGCTTGTATGTGATATCGCAAGACATTTACATATAAATGAGTCCACTGTTGTTCAATGATATTATTATTATTATTTATAGTTACATTTATTCATAAACTACCAAAATTTTCTGCAGCGCTGAACAGTGGGTACATTAATGAAAGGTAAGTATAGGAACACAGTACCATAAATAACACAAACTGATGTAGAAGGAAACGAGAATCCACAATATGAAGCATCTTCTTGTGGTATCTTCTATGTAGTAAGAAGTTCTAACACTGTATCATTTATCGATACATATGTCAAACATTACTTTACGCCTTTCAAATTGGCATAAAATTAATGCATTCCTTTTGACATCATTAAACTTATGCAGGGTGATGAGATCATCAATCTTGCCTATTTAAGACGTCCTCTCCCCATTTGAGATGCTGAGATGATACCCTATAGCATGCTCTAAGCATCCTCTGGCTCTAGAATGGTTTGAGATTTGCTTTTGGGTATGCTGTATTTCATGATCCTAACTAAGGTAGTTTATCATTTTTGAGTATTTCTG